AGGTAGGTAGGTAGGTAGGTAGGGCGATCGGTCGGCCTGTTTTTCCCAAAGATAACATTGTTGCTGCTGTAAATGCTCGCGCTCGGACAACCCAGGCAACGGCCGTTACGATGGTCTGACAAAGTGATAACTTACAAAAAAGACTGCATGTTGATGTTCTTAATTGTAGAGATTGTAGAGGTGTTTATATATATATATATATATATGCATATCTTTCTATGCATGTATGTAAGATTATATATAAGCATATACATGATCTATTTGTGCAGGCATGGGGAGGATGTGCCTGGCAAAGCCCGTCTTCCGCGACTTCCCCCGCCTGGTTTGGCGCAGATTGGCCCGGAGCGTTCGGAGCCTGGCCTGAGCTTCTGGAAGGCTCGCTGCCTCGGTGCACAGACACAGGACCACACGAGGTTCTTCGGTGCTAAGTAGGTATGTGTGTGTGTGTACGAACACGGCAGGAAACACAAGCTTGATAACTTTCCATGCCTACGTGGGTGCCAAGCTGCACTGCTCTGCTGAGTGATTTGAAGCCGGCTCGGGGCCGCGCGGCACCCGAGCTGGCGGGGCACGACCGTCCTTGACCGGCCGCGCTTCCACGGTTGGCTTCTTGGGTTTGGGATCAGGGCCGACACCCAGCCCTGCAGGGGGCTCTGCCGAAGCTGAGGGCGCTGATGCAACTGGCACGCACGGAGATGCTGGGCGGGGCTGGGCAACTTTTGCTGGAGTTGGTGGCGTCTGCTGCGCCCGTTTTGGGCTCGGCGTGCTTGACACCGGGGTGGCTGGGCATGGATTGTTGGTTCGCTTTTCGGGCGTGCCACGCCGCAAGGCGCCTGAAATTCCCTTCTCCTGGCTTGGCTCCGCTCTTGTTGAGCTGGGACCAGGCGTCCTGGGCTTGAAAGAGCGACGCTTCCAACTTCAACCTCGACTTCGAGCCCCTCCGAAAAAGTTAGAGGTTCGCTTTGCACTCGCTTAAGCAAAGTGAGACGGAAAGTGCCCTGCTTGCGCACACACGACCGGGCTCGTTCAGCGCAGACAACCAAGACGGCCACTGCCCCGGGAACCACCAATACCGAGACCACAAACGACTATGACCACCTCCCATGGGCTGGAGCGTGGGTGTTTATGCAACCCCGACACTCGGCAATCAAGTAAAAACGGTACCCAGCACACACCCAGCATCGGAGGCGCTGCGCGTGCCTGCTGCATGTCGGGCGGTCTCTGCTTCGGCGGACTAAATTGCATCTTCACCGGTGATGGGATTGACGGCGCAGTGGCATCGTCCAAGGACGCTCGGAGCGTCGGAACGTTGACGTCCGCGTGTACCAAAGCTTCCTCGCAGTTTGAGACGGAGATGTAGAAACAGAAGCATTTAAAAGTGGCCTTTGTGTAGACTTCCACTTCCTGGCACATGCATCAGCTGGCCGTCTGCTGATCTATCTATCCACCTGTTCACGCCTACCTACTTGTCCATGTCTTTCGTGCGAACAAGGAAAAACACGCAAACACGAGCCTGGCCTCAAGGGAAGGCATAGCCATCCGCGCGGTGTCTACACGCTTCCTGGTACCGCAAGTGGAAACATACTCAACATTGTCTCATTGACCACCACACTACGACGATGAAGCATGACGTACACTCCGCTCTGCGACTATGCTAATTTCTGCGCAACTCCCACCATAGTGTGTCGAGCTTGCCGGGTGTGCATCGAACCGTTCACACTTTCCTTCGCCAAAGCATTCCAGCATACGACGATGCACACCGCAGCATTTCCCATTCGAGGGTGACTTCAAACTGGAACATTCATGCAAGACACATGAGTCCGCAAATGCGACCCAGCTGAGAACGACATTAGAACTCCTCGGGATCATCTCTCTTCTTCTTTGTGCAGTCCAGGCACAGGCAACGCTCGCCCGAAGGCCGCAAGGACACGACCTCGCCATCTTGGCCTCCATAAAAAGGGGTGCTCCTTTTGCCTTGTGCGTTGCTTCCTTGTCGCCGGGTTATGTCTACTCTCAGAGTACTGGCTGGCAGAAGTACTTCTGATCGTCATCGCAGCAATAAATCTCACCGAATCCCACCATCACCGAAAAGCTAATTCGACGGCATCACAAGAACGGCTTAGGATCAATGCTTGCAGCTGCTGCAATTTCGTGGCCTTCACGAAAATTTCATACGAAGCTTCGCATCCATAGCAAGACATTCAGCATACCAGAAATGACTAGCAATGTCGCATCCAGCGCAATATAGCGCAATCCAGCCGGCTGCACGCAACAGCCAACCTAACCTGAACAGTGTCATAGCAGGCTCGAGATCTCTACACCTGTCTTTCCGAAATGGCTTCTGTCCGGCACTCCTCCACATCTAGATCCCACAGCTGGCCTTGAATCTCCACCGTGTGAGGAGACCATTCACCTGAGTCAAGGCTTCGGCCACGACATAACAATAGATCTGCTTGTGATGTCAGTCTCCCCATCCTCTGCTCAGAAGTACCTTGCATTCCTCGTGCGGATCATTTCTCGAAAGGTATGCACAGTGCTCTGCAGTGACTCTCCACAACGAGCTCCGAGAAAGCGATTCCATGAACCCTGTGACCCTGTGGGCACATTATCTATCTTACACACGCACACATACATAGATAGATACGTACGTACGAACATACATACATGCATACATACACACACATAAATACATACTTCGAAACGTACATGCATACAGACATACATGCACACATAGATGCACAGATACGTAGATACATACATACATACATACATACATACATACATACATACATACATACATCCATCCATGCATGCATGCATGCATGCATGCATGCATGCATGCATGCATACATCTTGCATATATATATATATATACATATATATATACATGCGTGCAGCTACTTCTTGATTTTCTGTTTGTTGCCTACTCATATTCTATATGATACATTTCATGCCAGTAAACTATGTGTGTATATGTATTTATATAGTTATATAGGGTCCGGGATCAAACTCCTCAACAGCGGGGGCTAATAGCCAGGGACCCCAGTGAGAAATGGTCGTGGGCACGCCATGAGCCTGCGAGATGAAAGCGTGCATCCAGGAGGTTATGAAGGCCACGCAGGCATGCACGAGTATCTCCCTACGCGAAAGAGATTTGCAAGGTCCCCGAGAGAGGTGTGAAGTTGGGGGCCCTGTTCAACACGTCGAGATGGGCCATTGCGCACGAATCCTGAACGATGTCACACAGTGCCTTTACCTAAGAGACATGAACGTCGTCACCAAGTCCATGATGTTTGGCGGGATTTTCATAGCAGCGGTAGCAGAGGTAGCCAAGAGAGAGCCGCAGAACCTCCATTACAGCATGGCCGTGTGCAAGGTAGCCATGTTGAATTGGTTTAGAGGACACGCTCGCATACTACAAGGCAGAGGAGTTTGCGGCTTCAAGAAGACGCTGGCTCTCCCTCGGGCCGCGTGTCAACGAGCACAACAGTGGCTCATCGCGTCGAGACTTGTCAGACTACAATGTCCGGACGGATGGCGTACTCCACTTGGTGCCGCACCCACGTGGTGGCACGCAGATGACGGAACGTGCACGTCACTTGGTGCTGCGGGCTGTGGTGACTTGCAGTCCTTGTGGAGACTCTGTCTGGCAAGACTTTACTCGACGACGAGGCAAGCCTCGGCAACCAAGAGCGCGATGCGCTTGATAAGACTTTCACCCTTATTCTACAACGTGGTGATGTGGACAGCCCTTGCAACCAGGAGTGCAAGGGCAGAACCGGACCACTGGAGGCTACGCGAGCAGCATAGGCTTCGGCAAGATGGAGCACGAGGCGTTTGAACCTCGCTTCATGCTACGAGACGACGTTAACAAGGCGGCTGCCTCTTGCAACTAGGCATGCGAGGGCGAAAGCCATGGCTCCAGGCCGACATCATACGACTCTGCAGGATGGAGGGCGATGCAGCGAAGGCTGGCCGCTATTGTAAATATCACCTTTACACAGTTGTTGCGGTGACTACCGTCAAGAGTTGTGCAGGGATGGGCTCAATTGAGGAAGATCGTGCGTGTTAGGGGTAATGTTGCTCTGTTTCCTCCTTGACCCCCGGAGGAACGACTCAGAGTTTTGGTGCAAAGCATGCACCTGACGCGCTTTCACGGCAGGTGGGTCTTTCGGTTTTGGCGAAGGATGCGTGGCGGGACTGAGACGGCTTTTCGGGCCTTTCACATCAAGGCCTGGCTGGATAAATCTCGATCTGCCTTTCCCCCTCCGGCAGATTTCTGCGTCATGGTCGGTCGTATTCCATTGCGAGTGCATATTGCCTCCGGCATTCTCTAATTACGTGCGTACTCCTCTAATGCCTTGGAAATGGATATATAATTAATATACATATATTTATTTATTTATGTGTTTAGTTGAATATTCTGTTTACTTACTTACTTACTTACTTACTTACTTACTTACTTACTTACTTGTTCATTCGTTTTCTCGCGGCAGACGGGAGTCTTATACAATCTGGCTGACCCGTTACAGGGGGCCGTGGGCGGGGACGGAGGGCATGCCAAGGCGAAACCTGCAAGCTAAACTTTACACGCCTCACAATCCCAGCCCAGGCGCCCCAGGTGGCCTCCCTCTTAGGCTTGGCCGAACAAGGCCCCGCCGGCAGCTCCAGGGAGGCGGGATCCTTCCAAAAACTGCATAGTCACCTCTATGCATGCCGCTCCAACCCCGAGCTCATGTGCTACCAGCATCATCTAGTTCAGACTTTCAGTGTGGATGACCAGTAACGAAACAGCGACAGCAACAACGCTGCAATAAATAACGGATAATTTCGCGTTAATTACATCTACCACACAGTCCGAGGAGTCGAAGCAGACGAAACCTGCCGTCAAGCCTCCACTGAGGCGCGCCCTGCTGCCGCCAAAGGCCGGCCACGCAGCTGTAACCTCACCAAGCCCAGCTTGAGCAACTTGAGGACGCGAGCTTTGGGCCGTGTGCACAGGAACGCCCTGCAAGAACCGCAGCTATCTTTGCCAGAGCACATGCTAGGCTAAGCCAGTCGGGCCAGACCTGCTGAGAAACTAACCCACAAGCATTCGACGAACGAACCGACGACCCTGGGCAACAAAGGCCATGCTGCTGTGCCGACGAGGCAGGCGAGGAAAGCCGAGGACGAGGTGCCGGCGGCTTCGCCGCCGGTGCCATGAGCAGCAGGTATGGTGTGTAAGTCTTCCTATAAGTTCTAGGCTTTGGTTTGCATGGCTTGTGTCAATAACGACTAGCAGGTTGCAGCCATGTGTTTTGCACAGACACTTGAATTATCGGCTTTGGGAAGCAGCGGTTTCACGGGGCTCTAGTGGGTGTAATTCTGTAAAGGGTCTGGCTAAGGGCAAGTTGAAGCTTCTGAAAGCAACCAAGCTCTGATCTTTGTGGCAGGAGCCCATAGGAGCCCTTTCCGACAAGACCTGACTTCGATACACAGGCTTCCTTCGTCTGCTTCAACTACAGGTCGTGTTTCCAAAGGCCTCGCTGCAAGACGTGCGCGACTCAGGAGGATAAGCGATCTAGCTTTAGCCCTGCAAGGTACAATATCTACTAAGCTCCCTAGAGATCTAGAGATGTCATGCATCGGCACTTAGGACTGGGCGAACCAAACCACATGCACAGTGAAACAGACACCTTGGACATAAACTACTCGCACCTTGATCAGTCCCACCTTGTGCCGGCTCCAGACCACGGATTACGCACATGTCGTGGGATTCTTCGTGCAACCGGACTACATCCTACTACACCATCCGAAGCCTGACATTGCTTCGACGGCACGACCCACACTGCTGCCACAGCTGTCACACTATTTCGCATACTGCCTGCGACCTGACAAGCCAACCACAAGCACATCAACATGTGACGCATCACTTGCATTACACATCGACACCACCAGACCCTTCCTGCGCTGCAGCCGGGTCGCGAGTCCAGGCTCTCTGGCACCACTCGGCCTATCAAGGGCCTGCCAGGCGCCAAAGTCACCGACCTGAGGCGGGCATGGTTCAAAGGAATCGTACTATGCTCAAAGGCGCCAGCTGCGCAAAAAAGGGCCGGACATCAAGACTTCCCTAGATTCACTCGGCATCCCTGTGAAACCATTCCGGAAAGAAGTCCCTTGCTTCGCACAGGCCAGCTACAGGAGCGGTCTTCGATGCACCGTGGCGTGGTGGTGCAGGTACAGGATCTCGTGCCTTGCTCGAAAACATAGCTTGATGCAACTCAGTCAAGACCGGCTGACAAACGAGCAAACCGTCTGGGCTGTATTGTATGACTACACATGCTTTACTAGTA